CACCCACCAGTGACTGTTGATGGGAGAAACTATAACTATTTAGCATAAATGAATGCACGCATTAGGATAATGAAGCCCTGTTACATCAAAGCCAGCGTATCCATCACCCACCAGGGACTGTTGATGAGAGAAGACAGAAGCCTTGAGCCCCGCCGCCCGCAGCGCGCAGACGGTGACCGAAGGAACGTACCACAGAGACGACGTCTCGACTACAGAGTGCGCGGGCACCCGCCTGGTCTCATAGCGCAGGAACCCTGCACCGCTCTGGCCCGTTGACAGCAGCGCTGACACTACCATCACTATTATCCTCAACATCCTGCTGGATTTTTCGGATACCTGATAACAAATTTAACCTAATTTTGGCCGTTTACAGCCCCGACTTTTAAATTTTTCTATCTCTAGTAGGAATAAATGAATGTTGTTTATAATTCACGAGAATATTTTTAATATTTTCAATGCATTCATCGGGAGTATTGTTGATGTGCAGTAAGTTACGATGCAGCTCTCGTATTGTAGCTAAAAAAGCTTTTCTTGACCTCGTGATATTTTTCTGCCGTAATAGAAAATTTGTTTTTTATTTACTTCGACTGAAACGGATAGTAAATGTTGTGTGCAAGAATTCATTGTCAAAATAATGTACGTCAGGCTATTTTATAATGTACGTCACAATGCATTATGTATGTTTTCGATGCATTAAGAAACCTGTCTTATATTCATATGAAATGAAGTGTTGTAAAACCTTCACCTGCTTGATAATGAAAATTGTATTTTCGAAACGTCGCAATCTATTAAAATGTCATTCGGAAACCTGCTTTTCGATCTCCCGGCTCCAGCTAGAAATTTGGTTCGACTCATTGAAAAGACGAACAAGAAGATTGTTAATAAAAATCATGCTCGGGTCTTCAATCATACCTGCATAAAAGAGAAGCTTCTGCCGAACTACACCAATTTTCATATGATATGTGAACCATTGTTTTTCTCGAGCTAGAAATTTATTGTGCGGATGCCTGCCTATAGCCTCTAATAAATTCTTCGTCTCTCAGCTGTCGGCAAATGAGCTCAGAGCTGTACAAATACTGGTGAACTTCTCAACCGTAATATTCAACGACTTGACTATATTCGAAACTGTTTTCTTAATTAGTTAAATGTTAATATTTATGAATATTGCTACAATTTTCGAAAAAATATTTATCTTGTGAGAACACATACTCAATATATTAAATAAGTTTAAATTAAGGGTATTGACACAATATTGGCTCTAAATTAAAAATATCTCAATCTCTAGGTTCTCTCTTCTCTAAAGTTAATCGATTCTCATTTAGGACATATTTTAGTGAAAGTGAATGAGGAAATACACATTTATATGACAACTAGGTTTCAGCAACATTTTACAAAGTTGTAATACTCATCTACCATGCGGTAAGTGTTCGCACTAACTTGAGCATATTTCAGAATTTTTCAAAGTCATATTTATAAAACAAAGATTAGTGTGAAATTTTACCCCAGAAAGCCTAAATCGACGTTGTGTAAATTCCGTCGTCTCAGACGTTGGGAGAAGTTTTCGAAAATTTTGTAAATTTATTTTTTGCCCATCATCTTTTGGCTCACTCTATCTAAATTGGAATTAAATAATAATGCAAAATGAAAGCATTTTAAAACCAGTGATAAAACATATCTGCTCGACAACTTGCTTCAGTTTAAATTAAAGACATCGCATAATTATATCAAGCTAAAATTAACGTAGGCGTTTAACTTTCAACACAAGCTGCATTTTGGTGTTTTTAACACGTTTTTCTTAGCTTAGCTTCGCGTTTGTTTGTTTGTTTGTTTGTTTGTTTGTTGTTAACATTGACAACGAAAATTAGCCCACTTCTGATTGCTCTAGAGATCTGAAATTTGGCATGCAGGCTATTTTCGCCTAACAATTTCAGATTCAATCATAAAAACTAGCAATTAGAGACCTAAATTAGCTTAATTTCGCCCCAAAAAACGTGGGTCGGGCTGTACGTTCACCATCAAATTTCCAAAATTCGTGTTTTGTGTGCTTTTCGCTTTAATCATAAATCTGCCCGACACACGTTTTTTTGGGCGAGCCACAATTTATTTTCTACTTTTTAGTCCACAAGAAAAACGTGGTTTTTTAAAAAGTTTTTTTTAAGTTATTTATTTCTATTCTCTCAGTTGCCAGGGGCATCGAAATGATACTATATTTAGTTCAATTTATAATTTTGTAAATCTTTAATTTATGCGGATCTTTTTAACGTTCATTTGAGTGGCATATCCCTAAGTATTGAGAACCTTCAGATGGGTACGGACTCCAAAATACAAACCCTCCTAAGCTTGCTGAACCTGAGCCGCAACTGTTCATATCACCCCGTTGTATAGAACGTACACACACCGTTTGGCCATTCTATCTAAAATTGCTTGTTCAAAAGCTGCACTGAATTCGTATCTATTAATTGTAATAAAATAACATGTAATTCAGAGGGAAATCATTTACGTCAATTGTCCACAATGCCAAGAAAAATAACGCTTAGACAAGAATTCTGTGATGCATACGTCGGATTTTACTGAAAAAGATAAAGCCTTTGTTTGAGCCCAGATTTCACGAGATTATTTGCAATAAACTGAAATGTTTCGATTTGAGAGTCGCACCTGGCATCAATCAATCTTTACTTCCAAATTAAAATTTTATATGGCGCTCTGATGATTATTGGTGAACTTGTTAAATTACAGGTTTTGTCATCACTCGGCATCATGAAACAACATTTGTCATGGCATGGCATTTGTCATCACTCGGCATTTGTCATCATGAAACAATAATAAATCGTGAACACGTGTGATTACAGGTGAAATTTATAGATGTGCATTCAATGATTGATATAAAATCATTCAGCGACGATGCAGTGGAATTTAATTACGAGTGGCCTGCCGTTGATGGATGCCCGAAAGACACCAAAAATTTAAAAGCTATGATTGCGCTTTAATCTGAATTTTTAAATTTAAAAGTTTAATGAATCTCTGAATAGTCTTTCGAGCACTGTTTATATTTCGTTCGAATTTGAGCACCTCTGGATTTGCTGTTAGAAAATGAAAATGGAATTTGACGAAAAAAACTATAGTTGCTTTGTCTAATGAAAAGTTAATGAAAACAACTATATAAAAGAACAAGATTGCGACGTTTCCACGCATTATCTCATAACATGAAAAAGATATGTCGAAATCTACATTTTGTGAGATGCAGGTCGAAAAAAACATTCCCAAATATTCCTCGAGCGATTTGTACAACGCGTTTTTTGAAACTGTAATTCGTCGTTGATAGAGCATTCACAAGGAATAGGAATCTTGGCTCTAAATAAGGAATCTTGAAAATGGTTTTGAACGTTAACTCCAAGGTTGAATAACTGTCGTTATATGACCAAATGATTTTCACGTATAACCCAAAGTGGGGTTAATGACGTCAGTTTGACGTTGCAATTTAGCTGTATCATGAAAACTTTGATTTGGTCTAATTTTTGCTTTTAAATTTGAAATACAGTAAACATTTTTTCAGAACGGAACAATCGAAAATCGATGTTGTTTCAATGTGGAAGTCCGTTTGTCTTGTGCCTCACCTAGTAGCTATTGATCACTTGTGCTTGATCAACATTTTAGCCTTAAATCGGCGATTTTCAACGTCATGTGTCTTTTGGCGTTGGTTTTATGATTGCACCCAATTCTATGGTGCCCTGTAAACAGGGCTAGTTCGGCAATTATTGGCATAAGCGTTTTTTTTTTTTATATATTTAGTCGTTTGAAAGCTTTAAAAATCGAGATTCGTTTTCTTGAACCCATCGGTATCAATGTAAACTTTTTTATTAATAAATTTAATTCTTAGGAACCGTTCTGTATGATCAATCTGGCGTGAACAAATCTCGAAATAACTTTTCTTTATTAACGAAAATATTACTTTCATCAGCTTCTAGTATCTCAGGTTGATATTTTATTTCATTTTTTCTGTTGGCAAGAGTAAAACAGGAGTAAATTGGCATATGTCCACTATACAATACTTTATTTTATAATACTTTGGTTTGACGTGATGGTTATTTTATTTCGACAATTTTCGAATGAAAATCTCGACTCTATCATAATTTAAGAAATGGATGTATCAAATAGTATCATTCAAATGCATATAACCTTGTTATTTTGTTATTTGGGCTGAAATCAATTTTCATGCAGCGCCTGGATTACATCAAATTGATACTCTTTGAAGATTTATTGTTCGTAAAATCGTTGCTTCGTTGCTTAAAAAATTGTTCATTGCTTACAACTTTAATTCTCGAATAGAGTTTAATTTTTCCGGGCATAGAGTTCAAGTAGAGTGCAAAGTTTATTCACTTCATTTACACGGTGTGCTCTGTAGGATAGTCGAAAACAGTGCTTAAAATTGAGTTAAAACTGGCTAATCAGCCTACTCAAGATAATTCATAAATAGAAAATTGTTGGGTAATTTCTAATAGAAAGCTGGGATTCTTGGGCCCTCACGTCCATCGTCATGCAAGCAACAACTCATTCAATGTTTTTTCGGTCATTCAGTGTCAATATCCGACAGCCGTTAACTTGCCTCTTACCAGTAATTAAATTTCTTTGTCGAAATACAGTTGTACCAATGATTGGCCAAATTAGTAATTTTCGAACGAATGTCTCTCATTTTATCGATTAAATATTAGTGACTGACTGAATTCAGAAGATTCGTATTTATATAAAGTGAGGTGCTGTAGTGATATATGCTCATTATTTGTCTCTTACCGTCTTGCCTTAAATACTACAAATTTATCTCTTGCTCGACTGTAAAACTTTACAACGCTTTAATTGAACCGAGTGTAGGTACAGTCTACCTATGCAGTCCGACAAAGGTTACGGTAGGTGTTAAGTAACTACACCTCAAAATAAAGTTAATGAATAAACTGCAATTAACGTTAATTTTCAAATTTAGCTCAACATACGACAATTTCATTGGTGTCGCTTGTACAAGGGACCGACAATGCCGCATTTACTTCATGCACACCACACGTGCGACTGTTGTGCACTCCACAGTTGAGAGCTGCTTGTAGTAAGCACCAGCGGGGTCCATGTTGAGGACCAGGCAAGTTATCGTGCTAGTGAGAGCTTTCGGCTGATCGGCCGGGAAGAAATTGTTTGAGGCCGGGTACACATCTTGGATTAGATTGTAATTTTTCGTCCAGCCGCAAACAACGTTGATGCACTGCGCCCCGACGTACAACTGAGCGCTTGGGACGCCTGTTATAACAAAGAATTGAAAAACTTCAGTAAAATAATAGAAATTTTTGGCTGGAAAACGATTATTTTCACGAGAATTATGAAACATATTCAAGGTTAAAAATTTACAAACAATCGAATTTTTAGGAAATAAATTGGAATTTTTGCGATTCATGTAGATGCTGTGGCGGACGCTTTCATTCGCTGAGGAAGAGGAAGTGTTCAAGTAATGAATTAGCATTTTCTCAGAAAAATTTAAATTTTCAATAATAAACTAGTTTTCGAACGTATTTTAACGAACCATCAATACAGAGTAGCAAGTAACGTAGTTAAATCATTTACTTACCAGAGCATTCTTGATCAAATGCAAATTAATGAGAATACGAGGCAAAAATACTGATGCAATGGACTAGCCTAAACATGTGTGCCTGGTGATGCAGCTAAATAAAACTTTTCTGAACAAGGCTGGTTCTCAATATTCGTATGATAAGATTAAGCTTAGTATTTATGCGTAAGACGTGAGCTTAATTGTGCTAAACTCAATAGAAAAGTCGTTAATTCGTTCACATTGTCTTCCTTTCTGCAGATTTGAACAGTCCATACAAATGTTTTCGAAACAATGCATGAAATTTTACCATATATTCATATATGTTAACTTCTGAAATTGTAATTTATCATAAAATGCAGTAAGAGAAGGTCCCAGAAGGATTACTAGAATTTGAAACAAGAACCAACACCAGGGGCCACAGCTATAAACTGAAAAAACTGCGGTGCAACTTATCCACGAGACAACATTTCTTCTCGCTTCGAGTCACCGACAAATGGAACAGCCTCCCTGAAGATATTGTTGACGCTCCGAGTATGAACGCGTTCAAGAACAGACTAGACAAGGCCATGCAAGAGCATATGTTTAGTCTTAAAATGCCTCGTACCCTACGGAACAACTGATATCTAGAAACGATTTTAAATCTACCGTCCATTGAAACGATCTGATCAAAATGCCAGTCTAGTCAAGAAAAGTACAAGAATCGGCGACGGGCCTATCCAGGCCTATTCTTTAAATGCCGAAGATACTATATTATACTATTCTACTAAGGGCACAAACCCTGGTCGACGAGAGCCTGGACCAGCTGGAGGAAGGCGCTGTAGCTGCTGTTCTTGTAGACAGGCACTCCGCCCAGCGCGCTGCACGCCGCGTCAATGGCTGCACAAGCGGAGAAAATTATGACCAGCGAACCAGCTGTGTTCAGCAGCTTCGCCCTATTTCTCTTGGTAAGCTTCCAGTAATAAAATATTAGTAACATTGATAAGTGAATTAACAAGGTTCAATAAAGAACAGATTCAAAATCCAGTCACTCGAGGTTTGAGTGATTGGCAGCTTTTGATTAAGCTCCAAAACTGGAAAATTTAATTCCTGGAGTCATTCACTCCACCTGATCCCGCTGATGTCGTTGTTGTGACTGCGAGGCACCCGGCGGACGACAGCACGAAGGGGGACGGACAAGCTGGAGTGGTGGCGGTGGTGGTGGTGGTGGCTGGCGGTGGTGGCGGCTGCCGTAGGGGCAGCAGTGACGCCGGAGTCAGAACTTGTGCCAATATCGCAACCACTTCCTCCGCCGGATGAACAGGTAGTGGCGGCGGTGGCGGCAGAAGTGGCGGCGATGGTTGTAGTAGTGGCGGCGGTTGAGGTAGTGGTGGCGGCGGTGGTGGCGGGCACAACGTCAGATTGGAAGGCGTGCAGGTCTGCAACAAGGTTTTTATGTTTGACCGCAATTTATTCTATTTGCGATATCGTGCCGAATTAAGCCGTAATGAGCCACAGATATTCGCGCTCTAGTTATACTTGAAAATTCAGAACGTACCATCGATTTTATTACTAATCATTAAATATGCTGCGCCTAAGTAGCAAGTTACTGCAGCTACAAATGCGTTACCCTAGGAAAATTTATTCAAACTTAAATTATCATTGAAACGATTCCATTCAGACAAAAACAACTTGTAGATCAATTCTAATAAATTCATAATAAAGCCAATATTCTTCCATATCAAAACCATATTATTGTTAAAAAAGAGTAGTTGCAGTGAAGAACCTAATGAGTGCTACCCAAACTTGAACTCGTGGCAGACAAAAACACTTCAAATTAAGAGCAAATATCATCAGAAATTCTGAATGTGCTAACTGGAACAAAAATGTTTCACGGCAAGCATAGATTTTGGGTTCTGTCAATAGTTTGGACATCAGAGTGTTCTTCAATTCTGAAATGTAGGCTCGGAGTGCTGCGAATATATTTTTTTCTGGGGTGATATGTTTGCCGCATTTGGTAGGCAAGTATGGCTTAGTTAAGGCTCTCAATATGAACTTTTGGCATTAAATAAACAACGACCAACAACACGTCTCATGCATTTTCAAATGCCCTAAAAACTTAACCTGACACCTCTCTTCAAGAAAAAAAGAGGCCCGATTCTCCTCTCCAAAACAAACTGGAAAATTTTAATAATATGAGCGCATTTATTAACAGGCCCATAGGCTTGTTGAACTAGCAGAATGTTCAATTGTCAAAACTTCCACACATTTCCTCGTCATTTCAATCAGTTGCCAACCTGCTTCGTCGCCGGTGAAGATCAGAACCTCACGCGTGTCGCCCCCACTGCTGGCGTTGGTTGTTGTGTTCGTCGAGTTCCACGCCAGGATTTGACACTAAGGTATGAAAATATTTTATTAGTCGTTCGATTACATTGCACAAAGTCCCGATTAAAATTAGAAGTGCTCTGATGTACGAGTATATTATTCAGGCTGGAGGAGTACGGACTTCCATGAGTATCTCGCAAGCGATACTCAGGGATTAAGTGAGGAGGTGAAATCTTTTTCACTAATTGATAAATTTTCTCGCCTATTGTCATATTTTTAATTTGAATTATCGTTGTCCGCAATTTCTTGACCACGAACTTGAAAGATACCGCTCACAAATCGAGACAACAACAGTCATAATCACAATGCCAACACTCGAATTTTCATCATGTAGATAATATGTTCACGTTCATCATCATCATAAGATTCGAGTAATTCCTCGGCATATACTACAATATACAATCATAAGATTCCTCGACATATACTACACGTCCCGGTAATCCTATGTTCCTTGTTCACATTTCCATTTATCTATCTACGCTGTAATTATTTTTAGTTGTAAGAATTCGTACCAAATTTTCTGGCAACATCGACCCAAATAATGGAAGGGCCTGTTTGGCCCTGTCATACGTTTTGGTCATGCGTAGATACTTACTGTATAGCCTGCCGCTTGTGCTCTTGACTGGTAAGCGTTTAGGTAGTCTATTTTGTAATAGAATAACTGCTAGGAAGTTGTTTAGAATTTTGTTGTAGTTGTTGTTATAATGTATTTGAATGTGTGGTAATTTTTAGGAGAACTTCCCTCATCTATTCCGGGACTCTACTTCAATAAACTTTGGAACCTGGACCAAGCCTAATAAACCTTAACTGAACCCATGGATCGCAAGTTACCGTCAAGGAATTACGAAGAAAGCTCATTCAAAAATTTCAATTAAACTGTCGACTTAGGTTTTTTAGGTGAACGCTAAATATATTTTACTCTACATGCTGAAGTTGGTATTGCATTAATGCCTAGCCTTGTACAGACTTCGAAAACTTAACCTATAATTTCAAATTTTACTTGAAGTTTACCTTGTAACTCATTTCCCTCTTAGAGCCTGACAAAATAATGTCAATAAATGCACGCATTAGAATAATGAAGCCCTGTTACATCAAAGCCAGCGTGCCCATCACCCACCAGGGACTGTTGATGGGAGAAACTGTAATTATTTAGCAAAAATGAATGCACGCATAGGAATAACCAAGCCCTGTTACATCAAAGCCAGCATCTCCATCACCCACCAGGGACTGTTGATGGGAGAAGACAGAAGCCTTGAGCCCGGCCGCCCGCAGCGCGCAGACGGTGACCGAAGGAACGTACCACAGAGACGACGTCTCGACTACAGAGTGCGCGGGCACCCGCCTGGTCTCATAGCGCAGGAACCCTGCACCGCTCTGGCCCGTTGACAGCAGCGCTGTCACTACCATCACTATTATCCTAATCATCCTGTGGGATTTTCTGCTTTCCAAAGAAGAGTTGCACTTTATTCAAGTTATATAAAGGTTTTCTACGAATCGTGCACTGTTCGTAAAACCTGGTGTGCGAGGATTTAATCATATCTTCAAGCTGCAACAAATTTGTGCAAAGCCTCATTTTGTGTGGTAAAGTGGGGGCAGATGCTAAACTCAGAACTTTTTAACTGATTTTTGGTAAATTCCGAAAACTTACTTACCTGTAAATTTAAATCTTGCTTCTAAGCTTTATACCGTTTTTCCTCATTGACTATCCATATCTACAGTGGGGAAAATAAGTATTTAGTCAGTCGCCAATTGTGCAAGTTCTCCCCCTTAAAATGATGAGAGAGGCCTGCAATTGACATCATAGGTAAACCTCAACTATAGAATAGAATAGAAGTGTCTGCATTGAAGAAATAGGCCCATGGCCTGTTGCAGATTCTTGAACTTTTCGTGACTTGATTCACAAGGGATCCGGCCTTTGTAACCCGATCTTTCCATAACTGACCATTGATTGAGATAGCTGTTGGACTTATTGCCTGGTCCGTAATTTGCTAGGCATTTTAAGACTGAACATATGCTCTTGCATAGCTTCGTCTAGTCTATTCTTGAAGGCGTTCATACTCGGAGCGTCAACGATGCTATCAGGGAGGCTAGCTGTTCCACATGTCGGTGACTCGAAGCGAGAAGAAATGTTGTCGCATGGATGTGTTCCAACGCTGTTTTTTTAGTTTATAGCCGTGGCCCCTGGTGTTGGTTCATGTTTCAAATTCTAGTAATCCTTCTGGGACCTTGTATAAGCCATGAGTCTACCTGTATGTTTCAATGAGGTCCCCACGCAGACGTCGATAACTGAGGCTTGGAAGCTTCATAATCTTTAATCTTTCCTCATAGGACTTGCCTTTCAAGCCCGGAACTATCCTTGTTGCACGTCTTTGAACACTCCACTAAATTTTTGTCCTTTTCAAATTTCGGTGGCCATACGACGTTTCCAAACTCTAGGTTCGGGCGCACGACAGCAACAAACAACTGCTTCATCGCTTCTGCATCTAGGAACTCGATAGAGCGTCTGATCAGTCCAAGTCGTTTATTGGCTTTATCAACTTGACCTTCGATATGCTTAGAAAATTTCAACTCATTATCGATATTAACTCCTAAATCTTTTTCCATTGTCGACTTCAACACAGTCACTCTGTCGTTGCAACCGTGTCTTCTCATACTGTAATCTTGCTGTTCATTATTCTTGCCAAGGTGGATAACTTTATATTTTTCAGCGTTAAAACGCAGCTGCCACTTATCAGCCCAGTCAACTAGCCTGTCAAGATCACCTTGCAACTGTACTTTTTGCGACGTATTCTTCACTGTAGTATAAATTTTTGTGTCGTCAGCATACATCAAGCAAACGCTAGTTACAGCTTCTGGCGGATCGTTTATAAACGCAACGAAAATAATAGGCCCGAGAACGCTTCCTTGCGGCACGCCGTTGCGCACTGAAGTCTAGTCTGATACGGACCTATTAATACTGACACGTTGTCGCCTCCCTACTAGAAAATCTCTGCTCCATTTGAGTACATTACTCTCAATTCCCAGAAACTTCAATTTACGCAACAGCCGCTCATGTGAGACACTGTCAAATGCCTTGGCAAAATCGAGGTACACTGCATCTACTGGCTCCCTTTCGTCTAGCAGGCGGGTCCATTCGTTCAGAGTAGACAAGAGGTTAGTGGTGCAGGATCTCCCGGCAATAAAGCCATGTTGACAGTCTGATAGGAGATTATTAGCAGTCAAAGGCGACTATGATAAACGATCGCAATCAATCCCCTATCGATCGATCCCCTATCAATCGATCCCTCGCATCAGATTCCATTACCTTGCAAACGACACTTGTAAAACTGACAGGGCGATAGTTTCCCGGGCAGCTTTTGTCACCTTTTTTGAACAATGGTGTCACTTGAGCTTCTTTCCAGTCAGCCGGCAACATTCCTTCGTTCAAAGTTTTTCGAAAAAGTGACGTCAGAGGGCCGGCTAGGACAGCTGCTAACTCTTTGAGTAATCTGGGGTGGAAGTCGTCTGGTCTACATGACTTGTTTGGATTTACAGCGATAAGGCGCTTGAGAACCTTCTTGTATTTCAAAACTTATTAATTTAGAGCCGACTGGGTGCTCCTCAATAGCTGGAATACTGTTCAAGTCCTCTTCAGAGAATACGCTACTGAAAAAATGATTAAATACGTTAGCTTTGCCCTCATCAGAGGATATCTTTCGTTGATCTACTTTCAAATCAGAAATACCTTCCTTCATCTTGCACTTCGAGCTAGCGTACAAAAAGGCTTTCGGGTTCCTTTTTGCATTTTTAGCAATACTTTTTTCGAGTGTGTTTACTGCGGTGCGACAGCTTTCTTTAGCTTGATTTCGAGCTCTTGCGTATAGGTTATAGTCAGCATCGCTACGAGTCTGTAAAAAACGCTGGTGTGCTTCCTTCTTTGTTTTCAGCTTAGCTAAAACTGCACTGTTCATCTACCACGTTTTTTTGGCTACACCAAGCTTAATTTTAGGTACACACTCATCAACTACAGACATAACCGTGTCCTTAAGAAAAGACCATGACTCAGCCACATTCATGTCCTTAATACAGTTCGAAATATTCACTGCATTCACTGCTTCACGGCGTTTATCATAGTCGCCTTTCGCAAAATTCAGACGCTCACGCTTCCGAGGCGTCTCTTCTGTACAGCACTGAAGTCTGAAAAACAATTATTGGTGATGGCTTTTGCATAACGGAGCCTCGTGACGAAGCTCATCTATCATTGATTCTTCACTAGTAAACACCAGGTCTAGAATATTGGGAGTCTGTTTACTTCCTATAATGGGTTGGTTTGGTAACGTGCTGGACTAGGAAGGAGTCTCTCACAGACTCCATGAACAAGGATGCTGGGTGATTCTCTTCCCTTGGAGAGGATCCATCTGTCCAGTCTAGTTCTGGATGATTAAAATCACCAACGGTAAACGTGCGTGACCTACGGAAAGTCATGCTTGGTAAAAGACTGTTTAGTACTTTATCGTTATCAGAAGAACTGTTTGGTGATCTATACACGACGCCTATGAGGAGGCTATCTTTGCCTTTGAGAGAAAGTTCACACCACATTGATTCTCCAGCTGATTGATGCTCTGCAGATAACTTAACTTGTTGGGCCCCATAAGAGGTTCTAACCCACAGAGCTACACCTCTACTGCACTACTATTTATTCAAGTTATGAAAACAATCAAAACCGGGCAACTGAAATTCAACAGGTACAATTTTCCCCCCGTGATTTTTAGGGAGTGTTTCTGTAATACAAATAATGTCTATGCGCTCGTTTCCAATCAAAGTTAATGGTTCACTTATTTTGTTCATAACGGAATCCGAGTTCGCGTAAAAACATTTTACAGCTTTTTGTGCACTTTCACTTTGATACATGCGTTTACTTCTTACATTATTTACAGGCCTGGTTCTTTGGACATGACTTCTTACTTGTCTTCCAGCTCCGCTGACTGACCGTGTGCGGCCGGTGTTGCCATGACATCGTGAAAGTGGTTGACCTGAGTCTCCATGCTTTTCCACCTGAGTCTCTCCTGCCATTTCTTGCGAAATGTTTCTCTCTCTAAAGGGGTAGCATCCTTCTTAACAAAGACTGAATTAAACTTTGTAAATTCACTTAGTTTTCTCGCAGCCTTAAGCACATGTCCGACCTGGGCTGTTTCCTGCACAGTTACCAGCAGCGGTCTACAGGTGGTAGCGTCTTTCGATCGCAGCCTTTTGCATGCCGGTAGATTCACAACGACGTTAAGTGCCTGGGCACGACGTTAAGTGCCAAGGCACTTAACGTCGTTTAGTGCCAAGGCACTTAACGTTAAGTGCCAATGCACTTAACTATGAGAGACATAATGTGAAAAAAATGAGAAATCATTTTGTCAGACTTCTAAAGATGTTATTTGCAAATGATGGTGGAAAGTAAGTATTTGGTCACATACAAACAATCAAGATTTCTGGCTGTCACAGACCTGTAATTTATTTTTTTTAAGAGACTACACTTTCCCCCATGCATTACTCGTATTAATGGAACCTGTTTGAAGTCGTTAACTGTATAAAAGACACCTACCCACAACCTCAAACAGTCACGCTCGAAACTCCATTATGATGAAGACGAACGAGCTGTCGGAGGACACCAGAAACCGAATTATAGACCTGCACCAGGCTGGGAAGACTGAATCTGCAAGAGGCAAGCAGCTTGGTGTGAAGAAATTTATTGTGGGAGCAATAATCAGAAAATGGAAGACCTACAAGACCACTACTAATCTCCCTCGATCTGGGTCTACACGCGAGATCTCAGCCCGTGGAGTCAAAACGATCACAAGAACGGTGAGGAAAAATACCAGAACCACAAGGGGGATCTAGTGAATGACCTACAGAAAGCTGGGACCAACGTTACCATCAGCAACACACTACGAAGCCAGGGACTGCAGCGCCAGACGTGTCCCCCAGCTTAAGCTAATCCATATCCAGACACGTTTGAAGTTTACAAGAGAGCAGTTGAATGTTCCAGAAGAGTATTGTGAGAATGCTATATGGTCAGATGGAACCAAAGTAGGATTATTTGGTAAAAAAACAACTCGGCGTGCTTGGAGGGAAGTGAGTGCGGAGTTTCATCCATAGAACATTATACCAACTGTGAAGCATGGGGGTGGCAACATCATGCTTTTGGGCTGTTTTTCTGCAAAGGGACCAGGACGGCTGGTCCGTGTCCATGAAAGATTAAATGGGGCCATGTATCGTGAGATTTTGGGTGCAAACCTCCTTCCATCAGCAAGGGCAATGGAGATGAAACGTGGCTGGGTCTTGCAGCATGACAATGATCCCAAACACACTGCAATGGGGCAACAAAGAAGTGGTTTCGTTAGAAACATTTCTAAGTCCAGGACCTATACTTTCAAAACTCGCTAAGTGAACGAAGTACTTACGCTCTATTTTCTTGTCTATGATTGGTGGATTTTGCTTGAAAGACCGTCAATGATTGGCTGATGAACTTACGATCTCTTAACTTTTTTTGAAAGTATATAGTGAATGTAAGTACTTACGCTCTATTTTCTTGTCTATGATTGGTGGATTTTGCTTGAAAGACCGTCAATGATTGGCTGATGAACTTACGATCTCTTAATTTTTTTGATAGTATGGCCTCTGGAGTGACCTAGCCAGTCTCCCGATCTCAATCCCATTGAAAACCTTTGGAGGGACTTGAAAGTCCGTATTGCTCGCCGACAGCCACAAAACATCACTGCTCGAGACTCTAGAGGAAATCTGCATGGAGGAATGGGTTACAGGCCAGCAACAGCGTGTATCAACTTCGCAAAGATTTACAGAAAACGTTTGACCTCTGTCATTGCCAACAAAGGATATACGATGAAATTTTGAAATGCAATTTTGTTATAGAGCAAATAGTTATTTTCCACCATATTATTTCCAAATAACATATTTAAAAGTCCGACAAAATTATTTTCTCATTTTTTTTATATTTTGTCTCATAGTTGAGGTCTACCTATGATGTCAATTGCAGGCCTCTCTCATCATTTTAAGGGGGAGAACTTGCACAATTGGTGACTGACTAAATACTTCTTTTCCCCACTGTATATGTATTGCTACCTCTATTAGCTCATTCGGTTGCTGTTTAGAAACTTTCATCCAACTTTAGCATCGGCATTTTAAATCACACGACTGAAGGGAAAGTGAAATGATAATATTTGTATTGCGTCGTACGAGTAGTATTATCGATGAACGCTCATGGTAATACATGGCATATTGTACAATTTATTAAATTCTATGCTTAAAATACACACAATTTCTAAACTTATAATCATCCAATTTTACAAGATTTCCTTAATTAAAAAAAATAATTTTTCCCTTTAGTTCTAAAATCTGACTGTAGTAACCAGACGTTGTCCACCAAACCTTCCTTTCCACACTGAGTCGAGGCTGCAAATGTCCAGATTTTGACGCTCGTTATATACAGAACAAATCCAATATTATCAATCAATCATCAAATATTAGTCCAATAGAAACACTTAATTCAGATCCATTGAACGGAACTGGAATCAATCATGAAGCTTGAATAGGTCGAGCATTTTCATCATGGGACTGAATTACCAGACAAATCACGCTTGGTATTGAATGATTACATATTTAAGACGTATATTACAAATGACGAAGTGCGATTTGTGTTTGCTCGTAATTGATGCACTTCCATTGTATTGAATAACTTCGGGCTAAAGGTTAAGCTTCAATCACTCCATTGAACGCCTTATAATGAATGATATAATTAGATGCTGCGAACAAATGAACGTAGCCTTGCTAGAGTTAGAGCTGAACTTTCTAAATAACTCCATGAATTGGTTCTTTCTTCTTGAAGAACGTAAAAATGAATCATTTCGAATAATATTTATCAATGCTGCTCATGATCGTCAAGCGCTACAATGAATGAGCTATACATCGCCTGCTCTCACACTGTGCTCTGAAAGGCCGATATTGTTGAATTGAATGAAAGCGTCGACAATGTAATGATTAGTACTGCGTTAAATTAGCTCAACACACGTTTTCATTGTTACAGTCATGTTTTATTATTTCTTCGATTTAACTTTAGTTATAGATCCATACTTTACGAATGCGTTTCAAATCATTATTTTAAATGATGCTGAACTGAGAAGCCAAGCTTTAAAATTATTGCGACATTTAATTTTCGTTCGCTATTTCAATTCAAGCTTAAGTTCTTGACATGTTTTGCAAAGATAATTGATAAAAGCGATAAATCAAAAAATGCAAAATTACTCGGACAACTTTGCCCTAATTGTTCATTTTTGTTTTCAAAAGCAGTAGCAATTTACTGGAGCAATTTTGGTTCTAAACTGTCATATACCAACAAAGAGCCATAAACTTCAGAAAATACTCTTATTTTACATGTAATTATCAAAGGAAATGTTCTTTAAAATACAATTGTTCAACCTTGCAATTTTATAGTTTGACTGTCGATTTGCTCTTACAAACAACGTGGAACACTAACTCTGTTCTTTCTAAACTACGCACCAACATCGTCTCCTCTTCTCGGAATTATTCCTTAACTATGCTGAAGAATTCGTTTAAATGCATTTTTCATTAAAAAACTTTCCATAGATTGCTGACCTAATCCCTGATTGCAATCAATTGTTAGATCAGTAAAGTTCTACACGTGACATCTCTACTTATATATTGTGTCCTATCAGAAAGAGAAGGAAACGAGAGTAATACGATGAAGGGCAATTGTTGTAACGAAAGATTCTATTTTCCCGCGCTGCATTATGCAGGTTATTCAAACGCTCGTCTGACGTTGAAATAACGTTGTCTAGACGTTCTTTCAGCGAAATCAACATCATTTGCCTGGAAAAATATATTTCAACATGAGTACTGCGCCAAGAAAAATTTCGCTATTTTTTTATTGAAATAAATTACGAAAATGTTTTCATAGATTTTTTGTAGTCAATTTCTTTGCTCTTCTTGGGAGAGATCTTCAAGGTGGTGAGATCCAGCAGATCGTATGTATTCATCCTCAGTCATAGTTTACATGACTAATATCTAGGCACATTTTTTCAGACTTTCTTATGATATTCAGCCTTTTTATTACAAACCCCACTTACATTTAACCCCTTTATTGTTATGCCCCGCTCTAATATATTCAGCCTCGCTCCCGACATTCATCGCTGATATTCAGCCTTATTCTCGACGTTCACTGTCGCTATTCAGTCTCGCTCCTGACATTCATCGCTGATATTCAGCCTTATTCTCGACATTCACTGTCGCTATTCAGCCTCGCTTCAGTCATTCATCGCTGATATTCAGCCTTATTCTCGACAATCACTGTCGCTATTCAGCCTCGCTTCAGCCATTCATCGCTGATATTCAGCCTTATTCTCGACATTCACTGTCGTTATTCAGCCTCGCTCCCGACATTCATCGCTGATATTCAGCCTTATTCTCGACATTCAATGCTTGCTATTCAGCCACGCTTCAGCCATTCATCGCTGATATTCAGCCTTATTCTCGACATTCACTGTCGCTATTCAGCCTCGCTCCCGACATTCATCGCTTATTGCCGCCACTGCGAGCACTCACCTCCCGAAGAAGAGCACATGCACCAGCAGCCAGGACTTGGGCTCGGAGTGCCCTCTGGCCTGCAGGGCGTGCACGACGATGTGGGGGACGCTCAGCACCAGCAGGAGCAGGAAGACCAGAGACACGGTCTTGGTGATCTGCTGCCGCCACTGCTGCTGCGACGAGCTCTCCACCCCTGCCCTCAGGCCCTGAGCTCGGGTTAACGAAATGGACGTTGAATTGGGTTGTTACGGGATTATGTAGATAGTAGGTGACGTTGGTTTGGATAACTATTGGGTTGTTACGATCTTATAAATAGTAGGTGACGTTAGACTGGGTAACAATTGGGTTGTTATGATCTTATAAATAGTAGGTGATGTTAGCTTGGACAAACGTTAGCTTGGGTTTATGAGATTATATAGTAGGTGACGTTAGACTGGGTAGCGATTGGGTTGTTATGATCTTATATAGTAGGTGACGTTAGACTGAGTAACTATTGGGTTGTTGCGAGATTATTTAGTAGTCGAGTGCTTTACTACTCTCGATTGCTACCGTAGGTCGAGAGTGCTTTAACAATGCTTTTAACACCGGTATTGTTATTAAAAAAGAGGTTCTGATTTTTTTACATTCTGAGATTCATTTATTTCAGAAAGTGATAAGTTGCAAACGCTCCAAATGATGAGTAATAATGCAAGACTTTAATTGAAGGAACAATGTTTTTTATACGAGGGCATGCTTACACGATATGAAAGATGAAAAATCAAATTTTCTGATTAAGATTCGATTGGTCTTCTTAGGTTGGGAATGCGCCCTATAAAATTCACTTGAAACTTTTCACTGTAAAATTCATCTTAAGATACACATAAAATTATATGAATAAACATATGAGAACTTTGTCCATTGATTTTTAAATGACGTCTCTTAGCTAAAGGTTGCGGGTAGCTGCTGGAATATGCAGTAGTTTTCAATTCAAAATTGTGTCGTGATTTTCACACATTACTCCATTACGGCTAAAATTATTTTCACACATTGCTTCATTAAGACTTGTATATAATTTAAAGAACAGTTTCTCACCTTGCATAAAAGCATAAGATGGCAGACGAGGGAGAAGAGCAGAGGTAGTGTGAAGGCGAAGAAGAGGAAAAGTCTCCTCGCAATTTTGCTCTTGCGGCTGATGATCACAAACAAGTCCTGCTCGCTGATCTCAAGTTCCCCCAGCCACTGGCACCAGAAATAAACGCGTCAGGAGCAGTAAAAATATTGTTGAAGTGAAGGAGTATTTTGAAAATATTTTGTTTACACGTTGTTATTAAACAATACATAAACTACTTGTGATAGCAGGCATCAAAACCTTTTTTTTATGATTTTTTGTCAAGTTCATCAATTTTAAAATTTATCTTTCATCAAGTTACGTTCAGGAAAGAGCAACTTACCCCAAAGGCAGGCGGCACCCACATGCCGACACTGTAGAGCCACAGCCCCGCCAAGACGTAGCGGTACACGCGCAGCTGTACCAACTTCTGGTACGCACGCGGCTTGAACATCGCCAGCACCCTTTGAATGTTGAGTAATTTATGTATGTCCATAATAATTAACACTTGCGGTGGGAGGAGTGGCTCAATGTTGTGTCCGAATGTAGAAGCCATGTATAATACCGTCACATTTAAAAGGAAGTGTCAATTCCTAAGCAAATAAAGTGTCATTGAATAATTGCATTCGTATATAAAGAAAATCTTATAAATTATTCATGCTGAGAAATTTATTCATTTAAAATTCAGATTCTTCGAGGAACTAAACAGTATTATAGATGTTTAACGATGAATATGACCCGAACATAAGCATGTTTTTTTTTAACGGTACATCCTTGCTTTCCCTATTTTCAGAACGACGGCAAACTTGGCAAATTCATATTAGATTAGATAACAGAAAATTCCGTTACTTAATCATTTATCATGTTAATTTTTATCGAATACAAAAAAAAATGAATTTTTTCTGAACAGGTAAATTATTTGGGCTATATGTTTGACACATCATTGATAAATGCTCAGATGACGTTAATACAAACTGACGCTCATATTTGAAGGTGGTCAACTCAGCTGGGTGAGCAGATGGTATGATGATAGTGACGCACCTGTTGAAGCTCAGCACGCAGATGGTGTGATGATAGTGACGCACCTGTTGAAGCTCAGCACGCAGATGGTATGATGATAGTGACGCACCTGTTGAAGCTCAGCACGCAGATGGTGTGATGATAGTGACGCACCTGTTGAAGCTCAGCACGCAGATGGTGTGATGATAGTGACGCACCTGTTGAAGCTCAGCACGCAGATGGTATGATGATAGTGACGCACCTGTTGAAGCTCAGCACGCAGATGGTGTGAAGCTCAGCTTGGTTGCCAATGAAGCCGATGACAGCGATGGCGTGCAGCACTAACGGCGGCACCAGCACCTACGCGAATTTATTGGCCATGAATCATGAACATTGAAATTGCAAAGAAAATTCACATTCCCAAATTTCCTTCTATTCCAAATGTGGAAATTTATCTGGCGGCATATTTGTTATTACAGCAATCATGGATCCTAAATTTCACTGTCCTGTTCATCAAGCCTGCTTAGGTTTATACTTTTAGTAAAATTTTATTTTATTTTATTATTTACTAATTACATCATCATTTAATGTATCTAAATATAACAGCTTATTTATGTAACAGTTCAAATCGTTGAGAAAACGAAATTTGTTAACAAAATGTCTTATATGTACGTAAGTCGAACAGGCATTGAAGAACAATTGTCCATTTCTGGCAAATAATATAAATTCCTTATCTACGCTGTATAAACTGTTTATGTGTCTTACTATAATAGTGAGGGTAACTAAACTGTTTATGTGTCTTGCTTCAATAGTGAGGGTAACTAAACTGTTTATGTGTCTTGCTATAATATTGAGGGAAACTAAACTTTTTATGTGTCTTGCTATAATAGTGAGGATAGCTCAATTATTGTTTGTCTGCTTGGAAAATGTATGTTTAAGAGTCATTAATATTACCTCGTCAAGACAAAGCGCCTGCACCAGCACAACCGCGTACAGGGGCATGGCGATGATGCAGACAGGCAGGTTGCTGAAGGCCAAGTTGACGATGTAGTAGGTGGAGGAGCGGCGCAGTTTAGTGGAGCGAAGCAGCGCTACAACCGCCAGCAGGTTGCCTGCATCACAATTAAAATTATATCAATAATCAAGCAGATGGTACTGCTTGATGCGTAGCATCCCGACTTTAAAAGTCAGCTGTTATTTTTGAATTGCATCTGTCTATGTATCTTAGAGGATATAGCGACCTACTTATAGTATGAAATTACATACGTTATATTATATTAATTTGTGTAGGAAAAAGTCTACGATGCCAAGCACGCACCCATCGTGCCCAGTGCTCACCCATCGTGCCCAGCACTCACCCATCGTGCCCAGCACTCACCCATCGTGCCCAGTGCTCACCCATCGTGCCCATGCCCAGTGCTCACCCATCGTGCCCAGCACTCACCCATCGTGCCCAGCACTCACCCATCGTGCCCAGTGCTCACCCATCGTGCCCAGCACTCACCTATCGTGCCCAGCACTCACCCATCGTGCCCAGCACCTTAGTATCCTTAGTATCTTTAGTATTTGTTTGTGACATAGCAGTCCCAGGCCACGATGGATCGCCGCCTCTGATTATCGTTCATCCGCCCTCATTTGGGCCACCTGATGCACGATGCTGTTGCTTGCTTCTCGCCACTGGTAATGTTGCAGGGGAGGTCGATCTGGGATTGTGCCCAGGAACACGTCCAGTTGTCTCTTGAAGGTCTCCAGGGTGAACTCCCCCTCTCTTAGATCCCTTGGTAGGGCGTTGAACAGCCTTGGCCCTGCCACGGAAAGTGATCCTTCCGCAGGGATTGAAATCTGACCGCGGATCTTTTACGTAGTGGGGGGATCTTGCACAGTCTCCCCCTTCTCTCGTTGTGATATGTCTGAATCCTGAAGGTCTCGCTCTCGAAGTTTGGCACCAATCCGGTTATCATTTTCCATGTGTACAGAATGACATACCTCTCATTGGTAATGACTCTAATGAAAGAGCACTCTAATGAAAGACGTACCTCTCATCGTGCCCAGCACTCACCCATCGTGCCCAGCACCCACTCATCATGCCCAGCACTCACCCATCGTGCCCAGCACTCACCCATCGTGCCCAGCACTCACCCATCGTGCCCAGCACTCACCCATCGTGCCCAGCACTCACCCATCGGGCCCAGCACTCACCCATCGTGCCCAGCACTCACCCATCGTGCCCAGCACTCACCCATCGTGCCCAGCACAGCGATGCCGGAAATCGCCACAGACGCCACTATCAGTACGGGCTCGGAGAATCGCTCTTTAAACATCGTGACAATGCGTGATGACGATTCACGAATCGTGGGCGAATAATAACGATAGTTAAGAACTAGTTTTTATTTATTTTCATTGATTAAGAAAATGCTGAGGTGTTTCAGACGCATCATGTAGTCTTGAGTTAGCAGTTCATGTAATTTATTTCGAATGACTTCAATTGTAGGTAAATTTCTGAATTTAGTGAACACTGGCCAAACATGTTGACTAAGCTAAAGAAACAAATTATTTTCCATTTTTCGTTTCAATACAGTTATAAAATAGTTAAATTTGGGATTCTGCGTGGAATAATAGGGCTGCACTATATCAAATAATTGGATTTTTTTAAAAATTGTGTGCGTAAATTCATCACATATTTCTTATTTTCAGCTCTTTAACAGGAGTAAACTTGTATTTTCGCCATTTAAAGAGTTAATCATATTTTTAAAACGCTTTGGAGAAAGTAATTGTGGTTATCATTTTCAGCCAAAATTATTTAGTTTTACAAATATCTGATTATATAAGATTAGCAAACAAAATTCTTAAGTGATCGCAAGCAAATTTTCATCATATTTAATAATGTGCGACCAGAAATTATTGATTGGGTCGGCGGCAAACACTGCGAGGGTCTCAAAATGCCAAGTGTCATGCAGTGTTTTGTCTGAAAATTATTCGGTGTCTGAAAATTAAATTAGGGCTAGTTGTACTCTTGCACCATCATTTCTATTTACTGCAAAAGGATCTCAATCTTATCTGTTTGCTGGTTTTATTACATTCTTGTACAACGTCATAAGCCTTTTTTCAAAATTATTTTCAACTTCCACACATAACAATACAATTGAATAGCTTTGGTAAGTTCCACTTCTCTTTTATCATCCACCAGGAGTCGAAAAAGTATTTACTTTGTTCACTGAGACAATTAAGTACTAAGACTCTCGTGAAAAAGATAGACTATATGTTATCACGGCATGATGAATGCCGTGAATCATACACGGACTGCACGGCTTAACTGCATTGCTGCTCGAACAAGGGGTAGGGCAGTGACTGCTCCTCATGCTATCCTTCTCCGCTATCCTTCTTCGCTATCCTGTTCGAGAAATCCTTATCTGCTGGAGAGGATGTCGCAAAACAGTGACGTCTATCCTACACTCGCACCTACTTACTCAACATAGGTCATTAATTTGTTTAAGTTCGTAATCTGAGAGAGTCAACATTAACCGAGTTTATGTTGAAATGTTTGGAAACATCACAGAGACGCACTTGACGATCGAGTAGTCTGCTAATGTTTTTATTAATTAAAATCCCTTCATACAAGTCCAATATTGGTTGTTCATTGCATCGTTCCGTATCACAAGTACCTTAATTACACTGTTACTTTATTACCTTTATCGCACTATACCGTGTGCTGTCGTACAGCTTCATGAGTGCTCTATATTAATTAATTAAATTTTCATCGTAAAGAAAGAGCCATGTATAGCCACGTTGATTACTATAGAGAATGTTAGTGATCTAATACGACGAGAAGATAAGACCCACCATCATGACTATACCCTTTAAAGACCAGTGGTACAGGCATAAATATTTCTGTTTGAAAACAGCAATTTAGCTCCTTTTAAGCGAACGAGAAACTCGAGCAAGAGAGCATTGTTACACTAGTGGTTCGCGATAATTAAGAAATCAATTGAGTAAAATTATTTATTAATTAAGTACTTATTTGCATAATTAATTTCGAACAAAATAGATTTCGAGGTATGTTTCTCGAGACCCAATGTGTGACGGTCATAAAATGCATGTATATATAATATCTAGCATTCATTTCCCACCGTACTATTCAATTCGTTGAAAAAGTCAACTTTTATTGAAATTTGTATCTTGGATTTACGCTAAAGAGCTTCTATGCGTATTTTGTTACACGATAAAAGTGAAATTTATGGTGCCTCTGTAGTTGTCTCTGAACTGTGAGTCCGCAGGCGAGTTCGTAGAAGAATTTATTTACACGCAGGTTCAATCGAAAAAATATTTTTGTTTGCCCTTGAATTAGAAATTTTGAATAGAAGAAAATTTTCTTGTATGATATTCTAAACAAAATATAAGTCTGTTTGTGGGTCGATGAGTGGGATTTACAGAAAATGAAACATTCACAACCTAAATAAAATTTTATTATGCATTGGAAACGACATTTATATTACGAATAAAATTATATTTAATAACTGTTATAAATGTTTCTTTAAAATAGAATAGAATTGTCGGCGCTGAAGCAATAGGCCCGTGTGGGCCTTGTCCTGTACCTGTTGTCGATTCTTGTACTTTTCGTGACATGATTATTTCTAATAATGAAGTCCGTTGATGAGTATTTCTAGTAAGTAATCCAGTTTTTCGAAATTATACAAAAATTTGGTGGAATTCATATAAAATTTATTAGTCATAATAATCCGCTTCTCTGGCCGGTGTCAAGCCGAACTCGAAGAAGAATCATTGCAGCAGGTATATTCAGATTTCTTACACCATTCTAACCGCTCGGTGCTCCTACTTCACCGGTGTTTTGCCTAGCAGTTCTCAGAAGGCATACCTGCAGCATCTTATCTCGGCCGCGGTCCTGCTCTCCTCTTGGTCTGAAGTTGTGGTGGCTCGACGAGAGCGTGGTTCCCCTACCTGGAGCTCAGACGTTCTCCTGCTCGGCAGCGGTGGCACGCTGGTGCTACTCTCCCGGAAGCTTCGGAGACGTTAGAGGTGAGGCTTGATTCTTGGCCAGAACCTTGCTTACCTCGCTTCAAGCCAATTTCTCAAAACTGGATGATCCTTTAGGACTGGACCGTTGAAAAATTGTGAATTCCACCGATTTTTTGTTGAACACTGATATTAATTAGCCAAGTGCTTTATTCAACCTATTCTCAAGTTTGGGTTTGTTTACCTGCAGGTGTGAATTGTGTGATGTTCATGGCCAGCCATGGTTGACCGAGCCAGCCGTGGATCCATCCTTTGAACTTAAATAAATAATGCCTTATCAAGTTTCTAGTATCAAATCCTTTCTTATTTACCTGAATAGTTGAATTACCTAGTCACAGTAACTTACTTAGGGGCGGGAATTCACAGTAATCATCTATTAGAGATTAAATTCAATATTCAATATTTTTGTATAAAAATTTCTACGCAAAGTCTTAGTCTTGTGAATTTGGAGGAGGTTTGACCGTGAACAGCTAGGCTCACCAGCCCCGTAGTAAAAAAAAACTTGACGCGCCCTTCAAAAGTTGCATGACGATGATGAATGGCATAAATTAGGTCACAGCCTACAACACCATTGTAAGGATGAGGTTCCAGCCTGCAACACCGCCGTAAGGATGAGGTTCCAGCCTGCAACACCGCCGTAAGGATGAGGTTCCAGCCTGCAACACCGCCGTAAGGATGAGGTTCCAGCCTGCAACACGGCCGTAGGGATGAGTTTCCAGCCTGCAATACCGCCGTAGGGATGAGGTTCCAGCTTGCAACACTGCCGTAGGGATGAGGTTCCAGCCTGCAACACCGCCGTAGGGATGAGGTTCCAGCCTGCAACATTGCCGTAGGGATGATGTTCCAGCCTGCAACACCGCCGTAATGATGTGGTTCCAGCCTACAACACGGCCGTAGGAATGAGGTTCCAGCCTGCAACACTGCCGTAGGGATGAGGTTCCAGCCTGCAACACTGCCGTAGGGATGAGGTTCCAGCCTGCAACACCCCGCGGCGGCCCCTATATGTCGCCAGGCAAGAGTCACCACGGGAGGCCTAAGCTTTCTCTTGGCAGGCACTACACCAGCCTTGTGCCAGTAAGTTACCAGGTCAACGAATCATTTCATAACAAATAAACACGTAAATGAACAATTTCACAAATAAATATTATCTTGTGGATCCCTTCCTTGTACAGTTAGTTCATTAGGGTGCAGTTTTCTGAAAATAATTTTACGATTGTACTAATTGATCTTTCTTTTTTTCAGCGCTAAGCCACGCAGTCGCCCTAATCATTTCATTTGCAGACTGCCTGTTCCCGGGAATTTAGGATCGTACAGTGAAATGGGTTTTTGGGTCATTCAGTGAAATTGAGTGGAAAATTCGTGCGATGGCTCTGCCCTATGAATAAATTAAAACCCATCTACATGAACAAAAAATTCTTCCTAACAAATGGCATTGAGCGTGTTCCTAGTAATATATACGTAACGCCTGTTTCGTTACACTTGAAACGACACGCGGGTTTCGTGTTATTTTTCTTTCAAAAATAATAGATCTATACTCCCTGGGGCTGCCCCCAATTGACGATTATTATTATTATTATTATTTCATTGATTATTAATTCTATCGAAACATTCTCATTGGTTGAATTTTAATGCACGTCCTTCTTCCGCTTTTGCATCGAGTAGGGAAACGCGATGCTAAGTCGTTCCTCCCCCCACTAAACTCTTCCCCATAACTGTGCGAGGTACACATTGAGAGTCATCGAGTGGGGAAGCGGTCCACTAAAGACTTCCCCATAACTGTGCGTATTGCGCATTTAGATCCGATGTTGAATAAGTGAGAGTAGTACAGTCGTTCATTCACACCAGCGCACAGAGAAGGCGTGCATCTCTGTAGCGTTCTCACTGAGATCTGAGGTCGACGTGTGTCACCCAAAAAACTACTCATCTATATTGACCGCGCTTTTAAGCTAGACATAATAACGGCCACTCCCATGAAAATTCTAAATTTCTTTTCGATTAGAACCACTTATAGTGCAACAAGAAAGATCTTTATTTTGTTGTCTCATCCAAAACGGAGCTACTTGTGATAAGTTTCGAATGTGATATGCGTTCCATCGAAGGTACGAAATCTGTTATTTGAACTTTTCTACGTTTAAATGACAGATTGAGGTCATTTATGACATTATCAAATACTTCAAAAAATTAATACCGTGTAATGACAGTACCTTGATTGCTTTCATTTGCAATAAAAAATTTTGTTCGTGCATGGCCGTTGCAATATAATTTTTATAAATACGCAATGGGTGCGTTTTAACAGCTTTAAGCGTATTCTGAAAGCTTTACTATGAATATATGTTCAAACAATGCGTTGAAACCCATCTTCACATGATCATCCGATAATTCGGCAAATATTCGAATTCGAACAATTTGAATGAAATCAACTATTATTAGAGACTAACCTTGTTGACTAAAGTACAGTTGGTTCCATGTACCGTCATCAGGACGTGTTCGGTCTACAAGCTGCGGGTGCAAAACCAAGGAAGTTATTTGGCTTGTTT